GTTGTTGCTGCTATTGGAAAAGGGGAATCGTTCGCAAATTGGTCATCATTTTTACCATCTTTCCGTTTATATTCATATTTTTTTGAAAGCTCATTTGAATAAATGAACTGACGCAAATTAACGAATGACTGAACAGAGCTGTTTCCAATTACTAGAGCTCCAATCTAAAAAAAATGCTGATGACATGTACCAAAAACAAACTGTTCAATGAATGCAAAATATCAAATTGACAGTTTTTTAATTTGACAAATCTTAAATATAAGTTTGTTTTGTTGTCAATAAAATTGAAATGATTTAAATTAAATACTATTTTTAAATAAAAAAATTGTTTAAATTATCATTTTTGTTGCAAACATTTTTGCCAGTTCATTAGCGTAATTTAAAGGTTGATTAAATGAAACAAATTGTATTAAACGTTTACGCCTTTTTGCCAAATGTTTAACAAATTAATTAATTGAAACAACTGTCGTATTTTTCTGGTTATTTAGAGAACCTTGTGTAGAACATTTAGCAATAAAAACTGACCTAATTGAAAACTCAGTCACATGCAAAAAACTGACACCAGTTAAATTGTCAACAACACTGGCCAATTCATTAAACGTTTTATTAAAAAAACAAAATAAAAATTGTTTTTTAGAGTTGAAAATTTTATCCTGAAAATAGCAGTGCCAGTAATCACTGCCATACTTTATCAATTTTTTATCAATGAAAAAAGTCGCACAGCAAGAGTAAAAAACAATCAAGGAAAGGCGACACGCGTCATTGGCTGCCACAGCAACGGTGGCTGCCGCATCAATTGCAAGCACAAAAGGCAGTTTTGCTTTACTTTTCACTTTTTGCGCTGGAAACATTAATAATAGTTTGGTAAAATGGCGATGCTTTAAATGACAGCACACTAATTGCACCAGTTTGTGTGTACTATTTATTACCTTTCTTTCTTCTTCTCTTGTGGACACACTTCACTGATCACCGTTGATCACAACTGCCTGAGATTGGCCGGGCTGATCGGAATTTTTGTTTATTGAAAAAATGTCTGTTGGGATGACTTTATTTACTACTTGATGAGGGGGAAAACCGGCAGTTTGTAAAGGATGATGATCATGAGGAGGAGAAAAAGGAAAAGGCAGCCAATGATGACAAAAATGTTGTCAATTGAAAAAAAGTTTAATATTAAAAGTTGTTATCAACTTTTGCCAGTTCATTTTACAGTAAATGCTAGGCAAATGGGCAATCTGATCAGATGTTGGCTGGTTGTGCTAGATGTGTTAGACGAGAAAGTTATTCAATGAACAATTTTGTTAAATAGGTTTTGCTGAAGATGGGTAGATAGGTTTAGATAAATTTAGATGGAAAAAAGCACAGCAACACAGAACACCAAGCAGCACAGCAGTCAAATCACCCAAAAAAAGTACAAAAGTCACTCACACTTGAGGAGGTGATCACCTCAAGTAACCGACAGACAACAGCCGCACACATCTGCACACCACCTTTGAATCTTGTTTTCTTGTTTTCTCTTTCTCTCTCTCTCATTCTTTTATTTCTCTCTGTGTCAGTCTGTCTGTCAAATCAAGTCAAGTCAAGTCAAGTCAAGTCAAGTCAAGTGAAGTAGTCTCAGTTTCATTCAAAAGAACGAAAGGAACGAAAGAGAAAATGTTTCAATGGGAACACAGGCACAAACGGCAACAGGTGTCTGTCAGTTGAGTGAGAAAAAAGAAATGAGAAAGGAGGAAAGAGAAAGAAGGGGCAAAATAATAAAAGAGAGAAAGAGAACTCAAATGAGAAAAAAGGGGAATAAAGTGTGCGTGTCCCTGTTTGCAGTGGGCTGAGAGGATAAAGGTAAAAGGGCAGTAAACAGTTATTTTATTGTTGTTATCATACCACAAATCTGTCGTGTCACTTTTTCANCGGCAACAGGTGTCTGTCAGTTGAGTGAGAAAAAAGAAATGAGAAAGGAGGAAAGAGAAAGAAGGGGCAAAATAATAAAAGAGAGAAAGAGAACTCAAATGAGAAAAAGAGGGGAATAAAGTGTGCGTGTCCCTGTTTGCAGGAGGCTCACTAAAGGTGAAAGGGCAGTAAACAGTTATTTTATTGTTGTTATCATACCACAAATTTGTCGTGTCACTTTTTTATCTCATTTAAAATTTTTAACTAAATTGAACCACCACCATCAAAGGTAAAAAGGTAAAAAAAAGTTTACGAGCACTAATTTTTGTCTTTTTTATTTTCTTTTTCTCTTTTTTTCTACTTTTTCTTGCTCACTGCTTCAACTGGGCAAAAACTCGATTTGCAACTTTTTTTTTCTGCGCTCTCACTCACTCATTTGTGGTAGAAACACAGTCTAACCGCATCAAAATCAGTTTTTACAGGTAGAGCAGGTAGAGCAGGTCACTTGCAGTGATTGTGTGAGTAAATGTCTGTCTATGTGTGTGTGTGTGTCCATTGGCCCACTGACACTTACCTGTTTTTGACCTTTTTGTGAAGTGATGCTTAATTTAGAGCGGAGTGCGCATAATCTTTGGTGATTCACACATACTCACCCGTATACCGTTTTCGAATAATTTGGCGGGGTTTTTCACCTGTTACCACTTTACGGGTTTTTTGTTTCTTTGTTGTTTTGCTTTTTTGTAATCTGCTTATTTTTAGCCAAAAAAAGTATACAATTTTAACCCCTGAACAATAAAAAACTTTAACTAAAGTTTGGTTGACACAGAAATTAAAACAATTTTTATTTGAATTGATTAAAAGATTACGGTTTTGTTGTATAGAAAAACAAAATTAGGTGAGTTTTAAATATTGATTGGTCAAAATCATTTGTGTAACATTGGTTTATGAAATCAATTTTTAAACAAAAGTAAAAGAGCAATTGATACAAAGATAAAGCTTAAGTTTTAACAGAAAAAATCAATAGATTTAATAGCAAGATTTAAAGTGGTCACAGGGAAATGGAAAAAAAGAAAGAAAAAAACAGGATGAGATCAAATAATGAATAATAATGATGCAAAAATGGTGTGTTTGTGTGTTCAGAAATCTAAATCAACCGTTTTCCCTTTCCAAAAACTATCAATATTAGCAGATAAAATAGCCATCACGTAGCAAAAAAAGTGAAAAAAAGAAAAAAAAGAAGAATCCATTTACCAGAAAATAGAGCGAGAATTGTTGGATACAGTAGTGTGTGTGTGTGTGTGTGTTCACGCCTCAGTGAGTGGCTTTATCCAAAACAAAAAAAAACAAAAATAAAAGAGGAAACGGTCAGTTGAGATAGATGATCCGGTCCGTTCAGTTCAGTTCAGTGATATCATGATGTGGTGAATTTAAATATTTTCCCTTTCTTTTGTTCAATTTTTTACCTCTTGAACACAATAAAACTACTGTAGTGTTTGATGTTGAGAAAAGAGAAATAACATTTTTGTTGCTTTTTAATAGTCAGCAGCGTTTGCATTGTATTGTGTGTGTGTGCATAAGCTTAACTTAAGAAAGTGGGATGAGGAAAAGATTGAGAGGAAAATGTGTTTTTGTTGTTGTTTTGTTGAAATAAGAAAAAGGATGATGAGAAAACAGGATGGGATGAGGGGGAGAAGTGGATGAAACGTTTCCTGTAGCAGCACTTACTTTTGCACCTTTTTCGCACCTAAAATGTTCACTTTGTTCTAGATGGCACCAATTAACAGCAGCTTAACAACTAATCAAGTACATTCATTGCTGCCCTTTGTTTTCTTCTTTTTTATCAAAAAAGAAGGAAGAAGGGCACATCACCAGATAGAATCACATTTGAGTTTCTGAGTTGTTTTGGTTAAACAAAACGTTGGGATGAAATGATAACGGGAGAGTAGGATGAGTTTAGAAAAAGGAGTTAAAGAAACAATTAAGCAGATGTGTGTGTGTGTGTGTGTTTGTAGTGACCGGATATGATAAAAGATTAAAATTAGTCAAAAATTAAAAACAGTTTAGAAAAGGTCAACATTCAAAAATTAGAAAGAAAGTAAATTGTTATCAAATAAACCTATTTGATTTTCTCTCATCAAGTACTTCGTTGATATGAAACAATAGCAAAAGTGAAAATCTTCTGATTTAGGCTTTTTTCCTTCCAAAAAAAACCTTTGTTAGACCTTGTGTGCCGATTTGACGTTGTTGGCGGTGGTTGCGGCGACAACAGTGTTAGATGCCACAACTGAAGATGACAAAGAAGAAGAAGAAGAAGTGGACTTTATCTTTGGTCCATTAGTCAAAGAGGAGGAGGAGGAAGTAGGCCCTGAATTTGCTGATGCTAAAATGACAGAGGATCCGCCTGCTGAGGACCCGGGCCTTGGAGGTGGTCGTGGTTTGAGGGTAAACAAATTAGTCGTCTCCGTCAGGGATGAACTTCGACCTGATGATGACTGATGATTTGCGACCCGACCAAAAGATCGAGCAGGAATCGGCGGCGGCGGCGGCGGTCGCAGCGGCGGCGGACGATGCGACGTCAGATCGAGATGCGAAGAATCGGAACAGGGAGATTCAGGAACATTGGGAATCGTTGAAGAGGGAGCTGAAGAAGAGGAGGAATTTTTTAGTGGGGGAAGAAGAGGAAGAGGAGGCGGGGGTGTTGGTGAAGGAGATTGAATTGAGTGTACTGAATCAGCAAACTGAGCCGGCGGCTTGATCGGTCTCGTTGAGGCGTAGTACTGCTTCAGGGTGGTCTTCTCAAAGGAGGGCTTCTTTTTAAAGGAGATACTTTCTTTGGTAGTTCCGTTTTCTGTTTTTATTGTTGAAGCAAGGTTTTCTTGTGGTGGCGGTGGAGTTCCTTTTGACGATGATAGTGGTGGCGGAGCTGAGGTTCGAGCAGTGGTGGTGGTGGTAGTCTGCGTGGAACGATGGTTTTTAGTAGCAGCAGCAGCAGCAGCAACAGAAGTTGTGGACACTTTAGTGGAGTTTTCAGCGTTTGGTGGTTCAGCAGGGCTAGATGACCGGTGTTCACTCAGGACGATGACGTTGGGCGTCTCGGCGGAGGTTTCCAGGCGTACTTTTGAGCTACTGTTTTTAGAAGACTTCTGCCCAACTTTGTTGCTCAGAAGAAGCTCCGGTGCAGGTGAGGGAGATGGAGCTGGAGTTGGTGGTGGTGGCGGTGGTGGAGTTTGAGTTGTATCATTTGGAACAGAAGAAGGAGAATTCTCTGACAAATTCTCTGCTGGATTGGGATTCTTTGCCAACAAGTCACCGGCAACAGAAGAGGAAGAAGAGGGGGATTCCTGCTCTTTTGGGGCCAACAGTGGCTCGGCTTCAGCATCCTCAGCAATGCCATTAGCTGTAAAGGCACCCTCCTTTTCTCCGGTCAGCCAGTATGTGGTCATGCGGCCCTTGCCCTAAAGATAAATTTTTGAAAAAAAATTGAAATAAAATGTTGTTTTTTTAAGAAAAAATTAGTTTAGTTTTTTAATACAACAAAATTTGGTAGCTCCCTTACCTTAATTTCAATCTGCCCACGGAGCTCCAGCTCAAAACTGCCAAACTTTTTCAGTATCTTGCACGTCTCAGAGCTGACGTGAATTCTCAGCGCTAGAAAACGCAAAAAATAAAACAAAGCAAAAACAATAACCATAAAGATCATTAAAAAGAAAGTCAACTTCAAAACAATTAAGCAATTCTAAACTTAGACTAACTATTGTTTTCCTCTTTCCTTTTCTACCATTTCTCAGCTCAACATCTTGACCATGAACATCATCTTGACCATCATCATCATCATCACCATCACCACCACCACTACCATTTCATCTTGATTGCCGCCATTTTAATCCACTTAACTGCATCGCAAGCAGAGCAAATGGTCACATTGGCTAAATGGGGGCACTAGTCGGTGTGTGTGTGTGTGTGTGTGTGTNGTGTGTGTGTGTGTGTGTGTGTGTGTGTGTGTGTTTGTGTGGCATTTGTGTGTATTAATAACTGCGGCCTTTCTCAGTTAGTAGGCGCCTGTCTGCCTGTCTGCACACATTAAGCCGATTGGCAAATGGAAGGCAATGAAAAAAAAATGTGAGCCCACTTCACCAAAAGAAGACGGTGCTTTTTATTTGCTCAGAGGACTACTACTACTACTAGCAACTCTAAAGTGTGAAACTGAACAATAAAATGTTTGTGTAGTTGTCCGTTTGTTTGTTTGACTGACTGACTGACTGAATGGCTGTGTGCAAAAGATGATTATAAGATTTTGGTCTTTTTCTTTGCTGAAAAAAACATCAACAACAACACCCAATGCCCTCATATCTATTAAGAAAACATTTAAAAGGAAAAGCTTTGCTCAAATCTTTTAATCTAGTGTGTTTGAGTTGCTGCTGCAGCAGCTTAAGCTTTTAGCAGTAATACTACTAAACTTTGGTCCGGGTAATGATAATAACCGTAATTGAGAGCAATTTAGAGAGAGAAAGAGAAAGAGAAATGGCAGTGGTCACGGTCAAGCTGAAACCCCCTCAAAAAAATCTCTCTCATTTAATCGCCATAATTTTTTAGGGGTTCACTAATCTCACTTAATGAAAGCTGTTGCAAAACGAAATTAAGGTTTTAAAACTGACTAACTGACAGGCGATTTTCTTTCATTTTTTAAATGGCAATACCATAAGCTAAAGCACAAAATTAAACACTTTATATTAGACACAGTTTTTTTCAAACTTACGAACTCCCGTCGACTCCATCCTCGAGGCGGTGTTCACCGTGTCGCCGTACAGACAGTATCGAGGCATCTTCCGCCCTACAACTCCCGCCACGACGGGGCCACTGTGAATGCCAATTCTCAACTTGAGCTGCTCTTCAGGCTTGTGGCGAATGGTAAAGCTGCTGACCGCCTCTCGAAGGGCCAGTGACATGCGGGCAATCTCCACCACGTGATTATCACCGTTTCGAACTGGAAGTCCACTCACCACCATGTAACTGTCGCCAATGGTTTCCACCTAAAGGTTTTTGGTAGAAGTCATAGTTTGTACAGTGTGCAAAACACGGGTTTTTTAACTCTCTTTAGTGTGCACTTACCTTGTACACCTGGAAGGCCTCGATGATCGAGTCAAAGGTAGTGTAGAGGTCGTTGAGAAAGTCGATGATCTGCAGCGGCGTGGAGCGGGCTGAAAGCGACGTGAAGCCGACAATGTCGCTGAAGTAGATGGTCACCTGCTCGTAGGACTGTGGAATCACCGGCTGGCCACAGGTGAGAGCGCTGGCCACCGTTCTAAAAACAAATTTTTTTTGTTAAGTTTAAATAAATGATAAGTTTTGATGACGTTTTTTAACTTTAACTTACTTTGGCAGCAGTTGATAGAGCAGCTCTTCGGCCTTTCGTTTTGCCTCAAGAAAATCAGCCGTGCGATCTTCGACGAGCAGCTCCAGATTGTTGGCGTACTGCTCCAGACGGTCGAGAACCATGTCCATTAGCTTTACCTTCTCCTTTATTGAGAGCTTCTTCCGGTGCAGTTTAGTCAGCTGAAGACTGGAGGGAAGCATTGGAACGTGTTGAGAGCTGGAGTTGCCTTCAGAATCATCAATTTCGACTGATTGAGTTGAAGTTTTTGGCACAGTTGGAGTTGCAACAACTGGTACGGCAGTTTTAATATCTTCACCATTTTCCTGTTGATCAGTTGTGGGTTTTTTAGATTTTGCCAAAATTTCGTTCTCATTTGATTCATTTTTCTCATTTTCCTCTTCGTTTTCATCATCATCTTCTTTTTCTTCTTCTTCTTCAAGTATTGGAGCTTCACCCGTTGCCACTGCTTCATCTGGATCGGGTCTGTGAAAAGAAATTTTCAGTTTAAATAATTTATTGTTGAATTTTTAACTTGTGGTTTGTTTTGTGACAACCAAAACACAAATTGAAAATGCACAAAACAAATGAGATTTGAAAATTTCATTCTCAAGAGAGCGACCAAATCTGGGTTAAACAAGTGTCAGGTACAACAACACTTAAATCTGGTCTGTTTTTCTGGTCCTACTTTTCACAGTGTATTGTACGACATTTGTACCTCTCTTAAAAATTTTCAGGCAATGAAACCGAAATCAATCTTGATCTAAAGTCTTTCGCTCCATTTCGCCTCAATGACTTTTAGCACAAACATTAAATTTCTTTTGTTTGCACAACGTCACAAAAAATTGCCTCGAAAGTTGGCCATCTTTTTGTTTAGAGACTCTAGAGCGTAAATAACAGTATAAGTTCTACGCAATTTGTCTACTCCAGTTCATTTAACATTTTGTGTTTAAAAAAACTGCAATTAAACACTGCTGTCTGTTTACTGTCTTCCAGTGTCTGCACTAAACTGAATTTTTAAAAATCACTTGACTAATTTTAAAGCTAGTTTTCATGTTAACAAAATAAAATATCAAAAAACGCCTGCACTTACTCGTGAAGCATGTGAATGGTGGCCTTGAGGAAGGCAAAGTTGGGCCGGTCGCCGGTCTCCTGGGGCCAGCACCGCTCGATCATCTGCTCCAGCGAGGACTGCGTCTTGGCGTCGGTGCCCTCGGAGGGAAACTGCGACATCAGCTGAGCAGAATTAGCACCAGGACCCGAAGAGTTAGGACTTCCGGAGTTCCAGCGAACTCCACAGTTGCCGCAGCAGTGGTGAGTGCACACAGTTGCGGAAATGGGACTGATGATCTGCTGCTGCTGCTGCTGCTGCTGCTGATGCTGCTGAAACTGATACTGCTGAAGCTGATCCTGAGCAAAGGAACCACCGGAAGCGGAAGTGGGCGACAGTGGAGAGCTGGCGGAGAGCTGTGGAGATGCCGGAGAGAAGGCGCCCTGAAGAAGGCCCAAAAGAAGTGCACGTACCAAGTTTCGT